CACTGTGACTATAAAATACTTATCACAGAGAACCCAGCACCTTCAGTGTCCAAAAGTTCAGAATGAGCAAACACATAAAAAACATGGCTTCCAAATATCTAAGCTAGATAAGTAGCTAAGTATATGTTCTTTGGTATTTTCCTGATTATTTCAGCTCACAAGATCACCTCTTTCCTCCTAAGTTAATTTAAAAAATCATTGGGTACAGGGGCTGGGAATGTGCTTAGTAGTAGAGTGCTTGCCTACCATGCATGAAGCCCTAGGTTCGATTCCTCAGTACCACATGAACAATAAAAGTTGGAAGTGGGTCTGTGGTTCAAGTGGTAAAGTGCTAACTCTGAGCAAAAACAAGCTCAGGTACAGGCCCAGGCCCTGAGTTCAAGGCCCAAGACTGGCTAAAAAACCCAAACAAACATTGATTTCTATCTGTTATCACTATGTTATTTATTACATTATAAACACTAAAGTTTACAAATAAACCATTTGTAAATATTAAGTGTCTTAATGTCTTACAATAATTTGTAAGAATTTGTGTGGAATTTCACTTATTTTCAGAAAAGAAAATAGATTTAAGGAAGTGACCTTTGGTAATTTATAGGAGGTTTTACAAAGTAGTGACTGGAGCCAGGACTCAGTAAACTAAGGTTGACTACAATGTCTAGGTTAAATAATGAAGGTGGAGACCACAATTAGGAAACCCACTTAACTTCCAGCTATTATTGCTGACTACTCTAGCCATGCAGAGGGAACGAGGAGGGCAAAGAAACAGAAGATGCAAGATTCTCAAGTTGTTTTCTTTGAACATGAACGATCTAACTATTATGTCAGCTACAATCACTACAATGTTGCTACCATTCCCAACCTTATATGCAGGAACTGATGTTGAGGTGAAGCTAAAAAACTTCGTCACTTTGTGGAAGTCAAGGAATGTGATTCTTAGCCCAGTAAATTGCACGAACTCAGAACTGGGTAATTATTCTTGGACTCATTCTTTCAGCTTGGCTCATAGCACTGTGGATATTATCTTCTTAATTGCCAACCATATTCCCTTTCTCCAGTTGGAATGCCATTGGTTACCCTAGGGGATGTCAGGTGCCTTCTATTTGCCTTCCCACAATGTTTAATGCATAACCTTATTGTAGGATGTATGGTTGCATTGCACTGCAATAATTAGTTTACTCCCTTCTTGCATACTGAAAGAGAAATTCTTAAGAGCAATGTATTTTTATAAAAAATCTTGGGCTGGTGGTGTAATTCAGGAGTAAAGTGTGAGGCTTGTGTCAACTCCCAGCACCAAAATAAACAGAAAATCCTTTATCTATAGTGTTTACCATATAGTAAAGCTCAAGGAGTGTTTGAGAAAGTCAATAACCTTGGTATTATCATTTATCCTAACAGAATGCATGCAACATCCACTGAATTAACTGAATTCCTACTATGATTTAGGCATTTGGAAAAAGGATAAGAAAGAGTTAGGCACAGGTGTTCCTGGGTACTAAGGAAACTGAGTTCTGAGGATTGCAATTCAAAGACAGGAAAGTTTTTGAGACTCTTTTCTCCAATTAACCACCAAAAAACCCAGAAGTGGAGTTGTGGGTCAAATGGTAGAACAGCAGCCTTGAGCAAAAAAGCTAGGAACAGCACTCAAAGCCTGAGTTCAGGGTTTATGCCACACACAAAAGATGAGAAAGAAATTGTTTCTGTTCTTGAGTTCAGATAATAACATAGTGATTAAGAATGCAAATTGTGATTGTGAGTCAATTATTTAAATATATGTTTCAGTTTCCTCATGTGAAGATGATGCTTTTAACATAAAATTTAATCTTTACAAGAATCAGTAACATAAGCTACTAGGTAATGCAGTCATAGAACCCCTGCTCTACCTTTTTGGTGATACTGGTCTTTGAACTTAGGGTCTGTAATTTGCTCTATTGGCATGCTACATCTTAAGCTCCACCTTGTCTTTTACTGCTTATTTTGGAGATAGAGTATAGCAAGCTTTTCTGGCTCTTGAGTATCTAGGATAACCAGGCATGGGCCACTGTCTCCAATTAATTTCTTCTTTCTCTCTCTTTTTCTTTTTATCTTTTTCTTTTTGCAGTACTGGGATTTCAATCCAAGGCTTTACACTTGCGAGGCAAGATAGTACTGCTTGAGCCAAACCTCTAGCTATTACAGTTTTTTGAAATGACTAAAATATTATGGTATTTGAAGCCATCAGTCCAGTGACAGATATTGTAATAGTTGTTATTATAAATATTGGCAAAACACAGAAATTACCACAATGCAAACAGAAATTTTTAGGAGCCATTGGATGGTTTAAGTTTCATAGAAAATATAAATGTACCTTGAAAATAAACTAGGAAAGTCTTCAACGTTGTAGCCTGAGAAATCAAGGAGTCCTACATCTGGAGTCAAAAGCTCAAATATGATACCATGCATGGTGTTACTGTACCAGAATTTAGGGGCTCTAGTCACATATTAGAATTACCTTGAGATTTGTGTGTGAGTGTGTGTGTGTGTGTGTGTGTGTGTGTGTGTGTGCTGGTACTGGGAGTTGGATCCAGGGCCTGGGCTCTGTCTCTCAAGGTCTTTGCTCTACCACTTGAGCCACAGCTCCACAACCAGCTTTTGGTGGTTAATTGTAGGTAAGAGTCTGATGGACTCTTCTGGATAGGGCTTCAAGCCTGTGATGCTCAGATTTGAGCCCCCTGAGTAGCTTGCATTTTTCACTTGAGATTCTAATGTGCAAACAAATAGCTATCTTTCACTCTTCTCCCCCACTAATTAGAATTTCTAGTAGATCTTTGCATAATCACAGTTTTAAACCTATCCAAGTAATTCTGATGTGCAGCTAGAGTGGACATCTACTGAATTTTACCCAATGAGGGCAAAAAGGGCTAACATTTACCATCAACCACATTAATTGTTACAGTGGTCAGTTTCTTAAAAAAAAGTGTATTATTAAACCAATGCTGGCTATTAGTGCAAACAGGATGACTAGGATTGGGAGGTGGGGGAAGATTAAAAACAATCAAGATATTTTTCCTTGTTAGGCATTAATTCATAACAGATTTTATCCACGATTAGGTTGGAACTGTAGGCCAAATGGTAGAGGGCCGACCTTAGGCGAAAAAGCTAAGAGACAGTGCCCAGGCCCTGAGTTCAAGCCCAGCATACACACGAACACACACAGAGAATTTATCCAAGAGCACAGGACAAGTCAGACCAGGTGGGGAATAAACCAACTCCTTTCCAATTAATTGACCTTGTAAAAGGAAAGCACACTGGAGATGCGCTTTTAAAAATGGCTAAGATCATGGGAAGAGAGAAGGAGAGTACTAATCCAAGCTAACGTAATCCCAAGAAAGGAATAAGGATCTTCAGCTTTCCCAAGCAGCCAGAGAAAAGGAGAGCTTGAACTCTATTCTGAAAGGGAGAAGGTGGAGCTTGGGGGGGTGGGGCCGGGAGGGAAGGAGAGCACAGCAGAACTAACGACGCATGCGCCTCCCACTGGCGCCGAGGCGCCAGAACAAGCTAAGGGTGGTGAGTTATGACCTCTTTGGAAGACATGAGGACACCTGCTGTAAAGGCTTTCTGTGGGGCTGGGAAGGTGGCTCAGTGGTAGAGCGCTCAAGGCCCTGGGTTCAATTCCTCAGCACCACATAAGCAAAAAGAAAAAAGCCAGAAGTGGCGCTGTGGCTCAAGTGGTAGAGCACTAGCCTTGAGCTGAAGAGCTGAGGGACAGCGCCCAGGCCCAGAGTTCAGGCCCCACGACCGGACCAAAAAAAATTAAAAAAGCCGGGCGCTGGTGGCTCACGCCTGTAATCCTAGCTACTCAGGAGGCTGAGATCTGAGGATCGCGGTTCAAAGCCAGCCCGGGCAGGAGAGACCGTGAGACTCCTATCTCCAATAAACCACCAGAAAACCAGAAGTGGCGCTGTGGCTCAAGTGGTAGAGCGCTTGCCTTGAGCTGAAGAGCTGAGGGACAGCGCCCAGGCCCAGAGTTCAAGCCCCACGACTGACAAAAAAAAAAAAAATAAAGGCTTTCTGTGTGTGTGTGTGCGCACTGTTTTTTTTTGTTTTGTTTTGTTTTTTGATAGGGTCTTGCTGTATAGCCTAGACTGGCTTTAAAAGTTCCTCCTGGCTCCTGAATACTAGCCACCACACCTAATCATTCCTAATTCTTGACATTCTTAACCTGTTACTTTAGCATATACATTTACATATACATTATCACATTTAAAAGTATATTTTGAACAGTAAACGATATATTCATACTTGAGAGCTAATTTAATTTATTTGATTAGTAATCATTGAATTACTCCACTCCTTTTTACCACTAGCCTTTGCTTTATAAAAAGAGTGTTTGGAAGAGTTAGAGATCCTCAATTGTGCTTTTAAAAGTATTTGTGTTCCTCCTCATGTCTTCCAGTGTGATTTGAGACTTGTGTTAATATATTTCTACCTAACAACTAATAATGAAAAGTATAACAAGCTAAGTACTACTGTGTTAATTTCCTATATAGTAGAAGATAGCTTGTGCCTTCTGCTGATTAGTCTTGGAGATTTTCATACTGTAGTGAAAGATTTTTTGGGGTGAGGAGGGGGGGAAGATCAGTCCTAGGGCTTGAACTCTGAGCTTGGGCACTGTCCCTGTGCTCTTTAGCTCAAGGCTAGCACTCTGCCACTTGAGCTACAGCACAACTTCTGGTTTTCTAGTGGTTTATTGGAGATAAGAGTCTCATGGACTTTCCTGCCCGAGCTGACTTTGAACCATGATCCTCAGATCTCAGCCTTCTGAGTAGTTAAGATTACAGGCCTGAGCCACTGGTACCCAGCTTGTAGGGAAGATTTGAATCTCTTTTGTAGCACAGATTAATCTACATGGTATTGATTGATATGGTGTCATTTTAGCTGTACTGGATTAGATTAAAAAGAAAGCCTTACATTTTTTTGTCTTCTGGTATTTCAATGAATTTCTTTCTTTCTTTCTTTTTTTTTAGGATTTTAAAGGGGTGCAGATCCTGGAATGCCTGAACCAACAGTTTTAAGGTACTGCTCTTACTAATAAACATTTCAGGGCAATGTTTATGTAAGTGTTAAGTCATTGGGAAGCAAAACAATAACAATGGTAGCTGCTGAATGGACTGTTACAAATCATTGTGGTCTTGGGCTGTTGGAAAAACTTTGTGGACAAGTTTATCATGTTACCAGGTACCTACTTATTCCTTCCAAATTTTTATTATTATAATCATAGAAAACATATTTTAGAAGAAAGTTAACTAATTTATTATCTTACTACATCACAAGATGAACTGTTTAATTTTTACATTCACATCTTATCCTTTTTCAGATAAATACAGCCTTTTGTGTTGTTCTAACAAGGGCACATAGGATTTTCAGTTTTTTCTCACCTAAAATTAGACTTTTTATCCTATTTGTTTTCCAGTACCCATTAGTTTGATTTTTCAACTTTTCAGTATTTTCCATGATAATAGATTTATTTATTTGTTACTTACTTATATGCCAAGGCTGGGGCTTAAACTCATGGCCTCATGCTCTTGCTTGGCTTATTTCCTACAAGGCTGGTAATCTACCACTTGAGCCAAGCCCTTGTTTTACAACATTGTAATGTACATAGATTTCTATAGACTTTTAATTCCTTACAAAAAGTTTTTTTTATTTCTTTTTTAATTGCCAATCCTGGGGCTTGAACTCAGAGCTAACGTTCTACCAATTGAGCCATAGTGCCACCTCCGGCTTTTTCTGCTTTTGTGGTACTGAGGAATTGAATCCAGGGCCTTATGTATGCAAGGTGAGCACTCTACCACTACGCCACCTTCCCATCCTCTCCTTACAATAAATTCTTAAAGAAATTAGTAAATTCATAATATAAAAAATATACAAACATTCATACTCTGAAAATGAAGTCACATTTCTTTCCCAGAAGCAACCTTGCTGGTGTTGGACAAGCAGTTTCAGAAGCTTCATACACACTGTGTATATATTTATGTACACATGTATATATATGTATACTTGTCTGTTAGTTTTCCATTATTTTGGCAAAGTGAGTTAACCAAATTAACTTGGCTCATGGCTTCAGTGACTTCAGTCTATGGTTACTTGGTCCTGAGGATTTGAGCCTGTGGTGGCATAGTCCAAAATAGCAGGAGCATGTAGTAGAGGAGGCCTGTTAACTTCATGGTAGCAGGAAAATAAAGAAAGAGGAGGGCAGGGCATGCCCCCCGTAGTATGACTTCATTCTATAAGGCTCTACCTCTTAAAGGTTTTCCCACCTCCCTATAGCTTTGCAGGCTGCATAACCAAGCCCACATAAGCTTTTGAGTGGTATTCTGAATCTAAAATAGAGCACTGTGTAAAAATTACATATACATGTATGTGAATGATATATGTATGTGTGTGTGTGTGTATATATATGTATATATATATAAATGAAACTAGAATCTCAAGCAAATTTGCTTCAGAAGAAGGACTGATAATTCTGGTGCTGTGAGAGCCTTGACTGCTGCTTGGGATTTCAGCTTGACCCTCTGTTTTAAGACATCTCTTGTACACTTCACTGATACTCTAGGCTTTAGTTTTTTTCAAAACCTCTGTTAAGTCACTTTTTTCTAGTGTGGTCATTAAAAAATTATACAGATTGAGAATTATCCAAAATGTTTAGGACCAGAAGTGTTTGCTATTTCAGATACTCATATTGTAGATAGGCAACAAATGAGGCTTTCTTTCTTTACCTCTCTCTCTCTGCTTAACATTTTATTTTTTTGAGAGGTTGAACTGGGAGTCTATTAGAAAGCCGGTGAGTATGAACAGACTCACGTACCCCCCAAAAACATGCAACATGTAGTGCAGTTAATGCTGTTAGTTAATGCTGAGCAGTGAAGGTATCGAGAAAGAGCAGAAAAGAAATCGCAACAAACCAGATCAACTCTAATAGAGTTGTGACCTGACAAGAGTCAGGAGACAGGAGGAGAATCAACAGACATGAGACGTGGTATGAGACGTGGTGGCAGAGGTGGAGGGGTCATGGTCAGAGGGCAAGGTCACATGGAGCTCCAGAGTGCAATGAGTTTATGGTACAGACCTGGCAGGTCTGGGAACCTATTGTCCAAGTCCCTGCCCATCTGCTTCTAGGAGTTTAGGTGTCTATCACCTGGGGTTGGGCATGGGGAAGTGGATTCCACCTCCAGAGCCCTGGGAAAGTCTCCATCATCCACCAAAATGCCAACATGGCACCAGTTAGACTCAGTATCTATCCATAACATTTTATTGCATGGCTTAAAACTGTCCTCTGGGAAAAACAGCATGCTACATAATGGTACATGCTAATCCCTGCCTATTTGGCAAAATGTCCAGAATGCTCTTTTCCCTATTTCCATCTGATGAAACCTTTTTTCAGGAAAGCCCAACCTCAATGTTAGCTCTTTGCTAAATGTCTTCTACTTCTGGCTTAAACTGATTGCTTTTGTATGTTCCCATAGTATTCTTTCACATATGCCATTCTGCCTTGTATTATGCTTGCTGCTTATGTACATTACATTTTTTTTCCTGCTAAGGCCTAACTTAGCTGTTCAACAAATGTTGAATTAACTAAATGACTCCAACCCTTGGTCTTTGTGTCTTGGGGAATCTCAGACGCAGGGGTGGGGATGGAATAGCTGCTATTCTTGGAGAAACTTTGGACCTTCAGAGTTACAGAAAGATGAGATAACTGCCTGAAAGTTTTATTTCTCCACCTTACTGTCTTTTCAGTGCTTCCTCTTTTCTTGTGCTGACTTTCTCAGTCTGTGTCATATAGGGTGTGTTCTAATTTCCTTCCTTCCTTCCTTCCAAGGTATACTTGCATTTTAGGAAAGAATTGATTTCCTGCAAGGGTTGTCTAGTTACACAATTTCATATTCTTTGCTGGCTGCATTGGGGAGACTGGAGAGGTGTTGCTTGGTTGCCCACTCTGTATCCTGAAAGGAACAGAATTAATATAAAATTTAATGTTAATATAAATTTTATTGCTTATACACAAATTTATTATTACTCTTGGAGGTACTGGGGTTTGAACTCAGGGCCTTGTACTTGCTAGGCAGGTGCTCTTCCAGTTTGGTCTCTTTTTCCTGGGGCTATCCTGGAATGTGATCCTCCTATATGTACTCCTGTGTATCTGGAATGACAGGTGTGTACCACTGCTCCCAGCTTTTTTATGGTTGATATGGAGACTTACAAACTTTTGCCTGGGTTGGGCCTGAACTACAATCCTCCAGATTTTAGTTTTCCTAGTAGCTAGGTCTACAGCCATGAGTATCTGGCTCCGTAATTTTATTATTATTATTATTATTTTTTAATTTAATTTAATTTTATTTGTGAACATACTGTACAGAGGAGTTACAGTTACATGGGCAGGATAATGTGTACATTTCTTACCAAGCATTGCAGCCTCCTCCTTTGTTTATCCTTCACATCCCTTCCCAGCCTCCCCCCTCCCCCCCTAATCCCAATCCTTCTCCTTCCTCCCTCCCCCCAGCCCCCCCCCCCCCCTACCAACATTGTAAAGTTCGTTTTGGACATGACAACTTGTACTTCTCATTGTTGCAACAGGTCCACCTGTATCCTTAAACAACTGGTTTTTCCCCATCTCCTCCACAAGTTATACTGACATCAAATATAGTGAAAGCAAGGGTTATACTGTGGGGGAGGGACATACAAAGCAACAAAGAGATAATCTTATAAATGTGTTAGAAACACATGCATGAAAGAAAAAAACATTAAAATACACATCTAAGGGATCATTTTCCTGACATCACATTTTCTGACCTTTTCCGCTTGACTCATACATATACTAGATATTACAAATAAGGGAAACCATGGGACCTACGTTTCTTTGGGCCTGGCTTACTTCACTTAATATAATTTTTTCCAAGTTTTTCCATTTCCTAACAAATGGGGCAATGTCATTCTTTCTGATGGAGGCATAGAATTCCATTGTGTATATATACCACATTTTCTTGATCCATTCATCTACTGAGGGGCATCTGGGTTGGTTCCATATCTTAGCTATGGTAAATAATGCTGCAATAAACATAGTTGTGCTGGTAGCTTTAGTGTGGTCTTGTTTGTAAACGTAATTTTATTATTTATATAATACTTATAAGCAATATAATTAGTAGTTTTTGATATTTTCTTTTTTTTGGTCATGGGGCTCCAACTCGTCTTGGGCACTATCTCTCAGCTCTTCAGCTCAAGGTGAGCGCTTTACTGCTTAAGCCACAGAGCCACTTCTGGTGTTCTAGTGGTTTATTGGAGATAGGAGTCTCACGGACTTTCCTCCCCGGGCTGGCTTTGAACCATGATCCTCAGATCTCAGCCTCCTGTGTAGCTAGGATTATAAGTGTGAGCCACCGGTGCCCGGCTTGATATTTTCTTTCTTTTGGAAAATTGTTGCCTTTTGGTATTAGAACTACGTTGATCTTAGTAACCACTTTTTTTATCCAGCACTACAGTGTATGCCTTCATCAGTTGTTGGTTGATAAGAATGGTATTTTCATATGTAGTGTTTTAATGAAAAAGAGTAAGTAGATTAGTATCTGTTGTACTGCAAGGAAGATTTTTATTTTGGATGCTCATTGTCAGAGGCATCTTTTTTTTTTTTTTTCAATGATAGGGATTGAATTCAGGGCTTTGCACATGCTAGGCCAGTGTTCTAACGTTGGGCTACTACATCTTTAGTTTGAGTTTATTTTCACATCTCAACTGTATGCCAGAATTAGTGGGAGATGTTAATACTTTTCTCCTTCCTGGATCTGTTGCTTCCAGTTAACCAATGGTTTGGGATTCTGGCAGCTTCTTAGTGGAGGGAATGTTTGTGGTAAGAATTAGGTGAAGTGGGAATGGAGGCTAATTTCTCCTGGAAATGTGAATAGGCCAAGGTATTTAGAGTACTCAGGTTTCATGTAATCATTTCAAGGTCTCCATTTCCACAGTTTGTTGTTTGTTTGTTTGTTTTTGTTGGACATGGAGACTGCACTCTGGGCCTAGGGGCTGTCCCTCAGCTCTTCAGCTCAAGGCTAGCGCCCTATCACTTAAGCCACAGCACCACTTCCAGCTTTTTTCTGCTTATGTGGTGCTGAGGAATTGAACCCAGGGCCTCATGCATGCAAGGGAAGTACTCTACCACTGAGCCAGCTTTCCAGCCCAATTTTCACAGCTTTAAAGCAAGAATCTTAACGGGGAGTTAAGTGGGTTTCCATACAGAGTGTGGCTCACTGAAGGTCTTCAGTCAATATTATTTTAGTATTGATGCTGAATCTCATGATGAAGCTTTATTATCTGAACTCCTCCATTATTCTAGTCAGTAGAGTTATGCATCATTTGCCTTTTTACTGATATCATTTTATATATCAACATACACTTTCCTTTTTGTTTCTAATAGGTAATCTCACACAAAAATAAGACAACTATTGTTTTAAATGCTGTTCGAAATGTTTGAATATTTTGTTGTGTTATTTAATTCTTCTCTTCAGAACTGCATTTGACAGATGAACAAACACATAAGTATACAAAATACTTGAATTCTTCAGCTGTGATTATGCGATTTTGTTTCAGGGTATAATGTATTTTTTCCTCTTCACAAACCTTTTAGCCTACTTTGGGGATAAAGGACTATTTGGTCATCTGGACTTGGAAGCAATCCTGAACAGAAACACTATGGAAGGTGTGTGCTCTGGATGGGATAAGACATGGGACATCGTTCAGGTGACCAGTCTTCATTTGGATGGCACAGGGCTCTTCTCAGATGCATCTGTGATGGAGTAGAACCTCTTCTGACTTATTTATCATACATAGACTATCAAAATAAATATTTTCAACAATGTTATGTCTTGAGTCTTTTCTGAATTAAGTGTACTAAGACCATCAGGTAAAAATAAAGCCTTTTGTTACGTTTTCAGAACAAGTAGTGTATGTATGTGCCTTGATGCTGCTGCCTTAAAAAGTAAAAGCATCCATGTCGGTTCCTGGCTATCACTTAACAGAAGAAATTCCTGTTTCTGTTGCAGTGAATCAACAGTTCCTTTAGAAATGGTCTGAGGTTAATAAGGGTGGGCTCGCCTCTTGTATTTCAATACATTGAAGTAAAGTTCTGACTACAAGAAAGGGGATTTGATTGTCTGTATTGCTAGGGATGGAAATGGCATTGTGGAATTGTATGTGTAATTTGTTTGTAGGTTAAATGTGAATCCATTCTTTTCCTCAGTGGTGTTAGCAAATTACTACTGGCCAGACGAGTCCCAAAGGGATTGTACTACTACATGACATTTTTCTGGTAAATGCAAAAGCAGTTCAAGATAACTGGTTTCTTGGAACCTTTTCCTGTAGTTTTGGTTTTTTTTTCTTGAGATAGGCTTTTGCTATGTCCTTCAGGTTGGCCTTTAACTAAAATCCTCCTGACTCTGCTTCCTGGATGCAGAGATTATAGGTATGTGACACCATGGCCAGCTTTTTTATTTTTCTCATGATGGGCTTGAACTCAGGGCATGGGTGCTGACCCTAACCCTCTTTGTACTCAAGGCTAATGCTCTACCACTTGAGCCATATACCACTTCTAGCCTTTCTGAGTAGTATATTAGATAAGAGTCTCATGGAATTCTTTGTCTGGGCTGGCTTCACACCATGATTCTCAGAACTCAGTTTGCTCAGTAGCTAGGAGGCATGAGCCATAGTGCAGAGCTATGGCCAGCCTTTACCTGCATTTGAAACATTATGAAACAGTATAGCGTGTATGTGTGTGTGTGTGTGTCTGTCTGTCTATGTGTGTGTGTGTGTCTGTCTGTCTGTGTCTCTCTGTCTGTCTGAGTGGCACTCCCCAGTGCCACCCAGGGCTTCAGTTTCTTGTACTTCTTGAGCTATGCCTAAGCCCTGGAGCAGTTTTTAAGTCCCATAGAATTGGTAAGTTTGAAGCCTTCTTCCCATATTCTGTTTTTGTTGTGGTATTTGCAAATTCCTATTCGGTTATTATTCTGTGCATTCTTTGTCACGCTGGATTTCTAGAACTGAGAAAGTAAAACTGGGGCAGTTGTCCATTTTACAAGATAGTAATAAGGATAGCTGTCTACTGATTTAAAAGTGAAAAATCAAGGATGAATATCAGTTGTGTCATTTCAAAGAAGTTACATAGGTGGAATCATTAACTTTTTGGATTTTTTCCAACTTAATGTAATTCTCTATCCATCCAGGTTATGTGTATCAATAATTGATTCCTGCTTTATACCATGGCTCACACCTATAATCTTAGCTACTCAGGAGGCTGAGAGATGAGGATTACAGACCAGGCAGGAAAGTCTGTGAGATTTTATTTCCAATTAACCAGCAAAAAGCCAGAAGTAGAACTGTAGCTCAAGTGGTAGAGCACCTTCCTTGAGTGAAAATGCTTGATAGGAAATGGACTCATTACCCTACTCATGTAACTAACCCCTCTGTACAGTATTTAAAAATATATATATATTATATATATATGAAAAAAAACCAGGGGACAACGCCCAGTCCCTGAGTTCAAGCCTCAGTACACACACACACACACACACACACACACACACACACACACACACACACACACTCACACACACACACGTTGATTTCTTTTTTTATTGTTGAGTAGTGGTAGTTTATAATGTATATGGATATTGTCTAGGTTTCCAGTTCAGCTGCTAAAGCAGTGGTTTTTTTGTGTAATCTATGTCTTTTTTAAAATTTATTTTTTATTTTAATTTTATTGTCACAGTGATGCACAGAGGGGTTACAATTACAAAAGTAAGGTAGCACTTTTCTTGTCGAACTTTTTACCCCTCCCTCATTTTTCTAATAGACCAAAAACTGGGTGATCTTGTTGTAACTCAGATATGAGAATTGCTACCATAGATTTATAGTGGCCCTTCTGCTACTGTTTAATACCCAGAGAGGCCTTTCTATGACCTATAAGACCCTGTGGAATCTGGCTTCACATACTTTGGGTCTCTGTTGCCTGTGACTCATTGTTTACACGAATGCTGTTTTGGCATCTTTCTGCCCTTTAAGAAGGCCAGACATGATTTCACCTAGTAGTTTTCACTGTGTCTTCACTGGATTGTTCTCCCTGATATCCATATGATGACTTCTTCTTCTAATCTCAGTGTTCTCTAACCTCTAATAGCAAACCTCTTATCTGTCTTACCTATCACTGTCTCCCTTAACCTCCTTTCACACAACCTTTACCAGCCCAGTTACATTTTAAGCTACAATACACACACACACAGACCTCGAATGTAAGTTCCATAACTATATCATATGGTCTTTACTGCTGTAATTTTTAGTGCCCAGTACAGACCCTGGCACATTAATAGGTGTTCAATGAGCAATGGGTGCATGGATTATGGGATTTTAAGTAAAATGCAGTGTGAAGAGGAAACAGAAAACATGAATCATTGTAATGGGCTAGTGTTTTTTCTTTGCAGTAATCATAATGGGTTATTACAGTATTGACATTATTATAGACATTGACAGAATTACAAACGACATCAGAATATGTTGAGAGGGATGATACAAGAAAGGACTATTTACTGTGACTTGTTCCTTTTTCCATTCAGTCTCCACAGCAGCCTGGTTAAGGAGAATATTAATGTCCATTTTGCGGATCAAACAAGCTTGTTCCCCTAACTCAAAGAAAAACTTGGAGTTGAGCACAAATCTGCTAGCACTGTGAGATGATTTGATTATTATATTCATTTTATTGGCATGAGTTACTTATTTATATCACTGATGATATAATTTATACAATGGATGAAATAATTGAACAATTACAGAAACAATGTAAATATTTCAAGTTTACTCAGTATCCCATGCCTTATACACAATAGCACATACATTCAAATTCACATAATAAATATACCTTTTTAAAAAACTCAATTGTAATGAACACTAAACATGTATTTTTGTTTCCTTAAATACCCTACATTCTAATTAAGGTGTATTTTATGTACTAAAATGATCAAGTCGTAGTGCTTATACAGTCTGATAAGTATTGCATATAGCCTATTGGGGACCAGGGTCTTAGACCTGCCTGGTCCTCTATCGTATTGATGCTCCACAAATGTTAATAGGTCAACTAGAGGCATAGGTGAAACAAACTAAGAGGTTTCAGTTTTAAATTCCGAAAGGACCAAATTAGTTTCTTGTGAGGGCTATGTTCTCCACGGTCCCTGGGGTTCAATGAATGCTTAGTAATTCTTCACTATCTGTTCCCTCCCCTAAACATTTCCACTCACTTTACCCTTACCATCTAGTTGTGTTTACTATATTGCTAATACTGACCATAGTACCTGGCACAAAGTGACTAAATATTTGGTAGGCATAGGAGACATGATAGAATGTTCCCTGCTGAAACATTTTTTGGAGAGATCTCTGCAATTTTTGCTCAGCTTCAGAGCAGCTGGTCTCAGCCCTCCTGGAGTTTTGCTCTACTCCACAGCTTAGGGCCAAGGAGAATCTGAGAAGAGTGTCCACAAAGATGCATTATTGGATGAATTTCTGAATGAAGATTATGTGCAACAAACATTCATTGCTCTGATGTGGGAAGAAGTAACTAGAAGGAAACTGTAAAGAGATGAAGCCAAATTAGATTGAAGCAGACAATGTGGATAGTCAATGGAATGCTGGAAGGAAGAGTAGATATGTCCTGATAGACAGTGGGGAGCCATTATTTAGTTGGAAAATAACAGTTATAAATACACTAAACCAAAATGCTTTGCTTAACAATCATTGATTAAAAATTCTTACACTATCTACTCAACTGTGTTAATGGTATTTTGTCACTGTGATCAAATAACTGAGAGAGAAAGTCAAGAAAGATTTATTTTAACCCATAGTCTCACATAGATCAATATGTCAACCAGGTTCATTGTTTCTTGGTCCTGGTGGCAGAACATTATAGCAGGACACATGAAGAATCAAAGTTGCTACTTCATGGCAGCCAAGAAGCAAAGGAGAGTCAGAGCTAGGAAAGGACAGGACATAAGGTACATCGTCTGGGGCAAGTACCCAGTAGTCTCCTTCAATCAGGCCCCATCTCTGAAAGTTTTCATCACTCCCAATGATACTCTCAGATAATTAATCCATCAGTGGATCGATCCATTGATTAAGATAAAGCCCTGACAATCTAATACTCTCTCAACTGGACCAATCAGCTTAGGGCTAAGCCTTTACTTGTGAGTTTTTGAGGAAGAAGCCCTTAATACCTAAGCCGTAACACCCTTTTTGAGGACCCCTTTTGATACCACATTCATGTTGAATGCCATTAAACGATGGATTTCTAAAATTAATTTTTCCCTCACCATTTTTTGCCTGAATGAAATCTAAAGAAGTGAAATATAGGAATGAAGTGCCACATTCATTAAGAATTTGTGCCAGACTAGCAGGATGAATGAGAGGATTACCATTTTCATTGCCATCCTTATGCTCATTTTCAAATTTAGTCCATTCTAAAGCATGCTGTCTTTTCTTTTTTGTTAGTTGTGGGGCTTGAATTCTGGGCCTGGGCACTGTCCCTCATCTTTTCAGCTCAAGGTGAGCTCTCTACCACTTGAGCTACAGTGCCACTTCTGGTTTGTCTGGTGGTTGGAGATAAGAATCTCACAGACTTAACTGTCCAGGCTGGCTTTGAACAGGATCCATAGATCTCAGCCTCCTGAGTAGCTAGGATTACAGGCATGAGCTACTAGTGCCTAGCTAGCATGCTATTCTTTATTGGGATGTTTTGTAATGTCAAATTTTAAAACAAGTGATTTATTTCTCTGAATTATCTGTTTATCTTTCAAGAGTTCTCATGAAACATGTAAATCTGTAAGA